CCCCCCCCCTGGCCCCGTCTAATGGTGATGTCTTCCTGTATGACGCCCTGCGGGGTTTTTTTTTCTTGCCATCCTGCCTGCCACAGACTGAAATATGATGCAGCAGGCTCAGTTACCAGGCAACAGCCGGGGGAATCAGAGAGGGACCGGATCTGATTGGCTGCGTAGACTGCGTAGGACTGGGCGCAAACACCACATCCATCAGAAAGGAAGAGACAGGTGACGCTGGAGGCAGGATGAAAGTGTGTGTTGTTGCCTTGAAGAGGATTATTAATCTCATCAGCTGTGTTTTCACTGCAGCACACAAGCCGTTCATCAACTGCTGCTGCTGGATGATGATGATGATGATGAAGAGACGGGGACCACAGGGCTGATGGTGATGCATCCCGACGTGCAGGGTCCGAGTGGGTCTCACCGACGTCCTCGTCACAGACGCAGTTACGATAAGCTGTGGAGAAGCATCATGTCACAAATACACAGTTAGCGGCCAGCTCAGGTTTTAGTCAATAGTTTAATGACATGTTTGTTTTTTTTTTAGTTTAAATGGCAAAGGTAGAAAGGTCACTTTAAATAGCCCACGGTCTGTAGAGATGCTGCCCCCTGTTGGTGTTTTCTAAATTAAAGATAAATATTGAAAATGTAGCTGTCGTTTAAACCCAAAGAAGATAGAGCTCGGGCTATTGTGAATTTTTGTTACCTTAACACTGAATCAGACATTTATAACTCTGTCCAAGATTTCTCACACACTCCTCCTCTTCACAACAAACACAAACTTTTTTTTTTTTTTTACTCAGCAGAAGATGTCTCAGCACAGAAAATGAAAAAATAAAATTGTAATTATTTCAAGTCACTCAAATGCAAATATATAGTAAACAAAAAAAACAGACATCCTATTTCATATTCTCACAAGTAGCTACACATTTTTTCTAAATGTATTAATTGTGCATGGTACATTTCAGATTTATTCAATGGAAAATGTAAATGTGAAAATATGAATTTCCCCCGCGTACCACTAGAGAGCGCTCGCGTACCACAGTTTGAGAATCACTGCTGTAAAACATAACTATTAACTATTATCATTATTGTAGTAATATTAATAATAATAATAATAATAACTTGAATTACAACCATAATAATCAATGGGTCTTGATACTGATTTACGTATAAATTTCATAAATTACAGCAAACCTTTCCTGCATAAAAAAATCATAAGTGTTTTAAACTTAATTTAATATGAGGACTGAATATAGAATAATACTAAATACTAAAAAAATCCAGGACTATCCCTTTAAGCTCAATTATGTTCAGACGCCAGGACACGATTTTATCGATCGACTCGGGACGAGCAGCAGATTTCTAAATGTCTCTATTCACTCGTTTCCTGCAATTGCCAACCACTGCCGCTAGAGTGCAGTATATAGTAAGCAAGTCCAGTGACCTGCTGAGGCGTTCACTTATTGATTTGATCTCAGTTCAGGGCAGACAAAGAGGATATGAAAGAGAGAAAACTTCAACAGGATGTAGATATAAATAAAATAAAAATAAAAAAATAAAACCTTTAAATACCACAGCTGTGAGTTTATCCATGTCCTTTCTGAAGAATTTCTGATCAACTTCCTGTCATTGATTAGATTTGTTATTATGTTGTTGTTTTTTTATGACAAACTGACCAAATAATCCCAAAGTTTGTGAAGAGTCTGGCGTGGGTTTTTATTCAGACTTGATATAACCTGACTTTCTAAAGCTTCAGGTCACACCTTACAGTCCTCTGAGTTTCCTGTTTTATAACAGCCTGGTGTTACAAAACAAAGTACACCATATATATGAACATACACTACATATACCCATTAGTGGTTATATATGTCAAAGAGGTCTTTGTGTATTGTATCCTGATCATAAACATAAAACATTTATCACTGATAAGTTGAAGCCCCAGCTCCACACACACATACATATATACACACACACATCTATCAGGCCTTTGTGTTGAGCTCAGCTCTGAGGGGGTTAACAGGACATGGAGACAGTTGGGCCGCACCCCTCAGCTGATTTAAATAACGCCGGCTTTTTGGCGCGAGGCTGAGCCTTTCTTCATGCCGGCTGTGACTACAGTCCCCGCCCTTCAGCGACGGGGACTAGAGAGCAGTAAGAGACGGCGGCGGTGGCAGCAGAGGGAATGAAGGGGAAGTAGTGCTTTGCAGTGGTCTTTGTACATCTCATCTGTACCTGCCGTTGTCCTGGAAACAATAAA